TCATACGTGAACGCTGAGTGAAATTTTTCTCTGTCAAATATTTTAGAGTGCTTAATCCTCTCTGATAATCCTGGAACATATGTTGCCGATGTATAAATTTTCTTCTCATTTGATTTATCTTTATTGGACTTGATATAGTAATTGCGGATGTTTTTGTTGATTAAGGCATGAGGAGCTACTTCGACAAAAAGGAAAAGAGGTGAATTCAATAAAAGTACATATTAAACAACAATTAAGGATGCGGGATTATAATGCATTTTTTGAAAGTGAGGAAAGAATAATTAATACCCTCACTACAACTACTAAGAAAACACAAGCTAGCAAGTATGAAAAATTAAGAGAGAAACAAAAACAATTACTTAACATTAGGGCTGTCCCAGAATGGTTTTGCAATATAACAAGTACAGAAATTCCAGATTACATTCAGTGGATCCTATCTTTAGGACCGAAATTCGCCTTACCTATATCCAATAAAGAGCTTCCGCTATTTAAGATTATAGCAGATGGGGAGAACTGCATACAGACGATTAAAGATAAAGAAAAACAGGAAATTAAAGGAAACAACTTGACGACTTTAATACGAGATTACATAAATAAGATGACATATACAATTAGAGATAAGTTTATTCATAATACCCTTCACTCTACTAAGACGTTTCTGAAAAACCATGACCAAATTTTGATCCTCAATGCTGACGAAGGGAACGTAACTGTAGCGATGAACAAATCAGAATATGACATGAAGATGCAGAAAAGTGTAAATGACATCTCAACATATAGGGTTTTAAAATGTGACCCTACAAATAAGCTGCAAGGGAAAAATAATGAAATAGTGGAGAAGATGTATGCTAACAAAATAATTGATTTAAAGGAAAAGAACCAGCAGCAAAACGGCAACCCCCCCTTGAATTTACGGATTGCCGAAAATCCATAAAGAAGGAGTTCCCCTGAGACCTATTTGTTCGTCCGCCAATTCACCGTCTTACAACTTATGCAAATATATTGTCCGCATACTCAAAAATATAACAATGTCCTCAAAGTATAACGTTAAAGATGCGATCGAGTTCAAAAACAAGATTGGAAATACCCATATTTATGACGATGAAAGTTTGGTGTCTTTTGATGTCGTATCGTTATTCCCGAGCATCCCCGTAGACTTAGCAATAGAGATCATAGATTCGAAATGGAGAGCTAGAGAGCTTTTCTTAACCATACTAAAATACTACATTAAACCGCTACTAGAACTGCTACTTCAAATACAATGATAAGATTTATGAGCAGAAGTCAGGAATGCCTATGGGTTCACCTGATTCACCGGTCATAGCGGATATAGTTATGGAAGAACTTTTAAATAAATTCGAAAAAGACTCTAACAGCAAACCACGGCTACTTACCAAATATTTTGATGATTTATTTGCGATTGTAAAAACGGAAAACATAGACAAGATACTCAACACTTTAAGCAATTTTAACAAAACTATCAAATTCACAATAGAAATAGAAAATGAAGGACAACTACTATACTTGGACACCCTAATAATCAGAAAAGGAAGTGCATTAACAGTTGACTGGTATAAGAAACCTACAGCACCAGGGAAATTATAAATTTCAATTCTAACCACGAAAGGAGGACAATTATAAATACGGCTACCAACTTCATCCGAAGAGTACTCACCATAAGTGATAAGATATACCACAGGAAAAATATTGGCATTATCAAAGAAATCCTGGAGAAAAACGAATTTCCTCATGGCTTAATCAACAAACTCATCCGCGATTACTATATCAAGTCCAATAAAGATAAATCAAATGAGAAGAAAATTTATACATCGGCAACGTATGTTCCAGGATTATCAGAGAGGATTAAGCATTCTAAAATGTTTGACAGAGAAAAATTTCACATAGCGTTTACGTATGATAATACTTTAAAACAAATATACACCAACACCAAAGACAAAATTCCTAAAAATGAGAAATCTCACAGAATACCATGCGATTGTGACGGGTCCCACGTATGCGATATGGTATATGTGGGGACAACCAAATCTAAATTGAAGACATAAATAACATAAAATTAAGGAATAACTCTATGGACAATAAGACAGCCTTAACATCTCACTGCCAAAATATGGGACATTATCCCGATTTTGACAATGTAGCAATCTTGAAGGAAGAGAGAAATTACAATAAACGTTATACTCTAGAGATGCTACACATCATGAACACCCCTAATAATAGAAGGATGAATTTTAAAACTGATACAGACAATTGCGCTCATTTCTATCGCAATTTAATTCTCACGCACAAAAACCAATAACGTAGTGGTCATGTGTTTATGTGTTCATGTTATTGTTCGTCGGTCCGCCACCAGTACTTCGTCCGACAATAACAATGCTATGCCGTGTTGATCTACATACAGATTTTCTCCGTCCTACTGTCCACCACTTCATGTATTGTTGTTTGTATATTTTTTGTTTACATTTACGTTATATTTCGACTTTCTTAAATTCACTTGTTTATGTTTAAGTGTTCTTTGAGCTTGTTTGTTAATATTTTTCTGCACATAGAATTAGTCGAGTAGAAAAACTCAATAATGAAATAATGTAATGTTGCGATCTTGATGTAAGTTTTTTGTAATTTGACGTAAATATGTATGCACTTGGTATTTTTCAGTCCAGAAGATGCCTTCAGATTGAAGGCGAAATATCGACATCAATAAATGTAATAAGTAAAACTACCAAAATCTATGTTTTATTTAATAACTGGCCTGGAGCTCAAAATTAACGAATAAAATAAAGCATTTTTATTATCGGTGTTTGACGTTTGTATGTTTCTTGGCTGTAAACAAATCAAAAATTTATATTACGAAATTTAAACAAAATATATCATATTTAAAAATTTATAATACGCAACAATTAAACAAGGCAACAGTGATTTTGTTGCGGCAAATGATAAAGCTGTTTTTGATAGACTTTTTTATGCTGATTACGAGTCCGTAAGCATAAGGTTTCCATCTGCTCCAGATTTTGAGAAAACCGAGGTCAAAGTGTCAAAAAATCGCGGTTTTTGCAATATTTTAGAAAGTCTAGCACACAAACAAAAGGTGATAGAACCTTTAACTGGGGCTTAAATTAAAGCTATAACTCTCGGCTAATATCTCTGCACCTTGACCTGATGGTCACTAAAAGTCATTTATTGAACAATATAAAAATACTGAAATAAATACTGTGGTATTGAAAAGAATAAATAAGTTTTGCCAAAATCATTTTTGCTGTCAAATAAATAACTATAAGTGACCTTAGGGTTAAAATTAAGGGATGGTATTTTAAGCGATTATAGTCGAAAGTTCAAGCCCTGATTTCCGCCCAAGGGAAAGGCTCTATCCCCTTTTGTTTAATTGCGGTGGGTACTCAAACTTCGCACAAAACCAGGTTTTGCTGTTCAATAAATGACTATAAGTGACCATCAGGTCAAGGTGTAGGGATGGTATTTTCAGGGATAGTAGTCGAGACTTTTAGCTTTAATTTAAGCCTAATACCGCCTCTTGTTTCTTTGCAAAAGCTTCTAAAATATTGCCAAAAACCCCGATTTTTTGACAATTTGACCTCGTTTTTCACAAAATCTGGAGCTGATGGAAACCTTATGCTCATGGATTCGTAATCAGCACTGACAAGTCAATCAAAAACAGCTGTAACATTTGCCGCAACAAATTTTTTTCCCATTTTTGTTGCCAAGTGTTATAGATCATAAGAAGAAGCTTTCTTCACTAGGCTCATAATTTTACTTGTAATTCTAAGCTTCAGTAATATATATGTAAATAAATAGAATTCGATAACAAAATGCTTTACTTAGACAGAACTATACATGTTAAAGCAATATTTAAATATAAGTTGTATTTTAAAGTTAAAAGTTACTTAAGAAAACGGCCGTACCTGTGTTTATATTTTCAATATTTTTTTGTTTTTTGTTTTTCGATGCCGTCCCTGTTAATTTGGAACAGTTTTTAACATTACATTGACTATCGATAGTACTATCGATGGTAGTGTTTGACACTATCGATAGTATTGCTGGAAACTATCAACGAGTAATGTTAGTTTTTTTCTGAAACATGGGAACTATCGATGGTGGCACTATCGATAGTTTTACAACTCTAAAATCTGGTATATTTTGACAAAAAATTTTACGTGTGCACCATGTAATATCTTTTTTAACCGACTTCACAAAAAGGAGAAGGTTATCAGTTCGTCGAAATATATACATATATACATATATATATTTTTTTGAGGGAATTTTACCGCATAACTTTGGACCACGTTAACCGATTTCGATAATTCTTTTTTCATCGGAAACCTCAAGGGTGGTCCTATACTAAGTTTGCTTATATCCGGTAATTGGATCGTGAAGAAATTAACGGTAATCTTAAATTTGTATATGAGAGATGAAGTCGGTTTTCTTTTTTGCTTAAAAATACTTGTTTATTTTAATAGTGTAATTTTAATTGGTTTCTTTGTTGTAAATATTGTTTTATTGTTTCTAAATCGAGATTTTCAAAAGGCCAATAAAACCATAATGGCTTTATTTCCATTTCCAGTAGGATTTAAGGCCATATCGAAATTATGGTGTTATTTCCAATCGCAAAGCGAAATATAACCGTTATGCTTTTATTGAGGATCGTGCTATTGTAACCCATCTGCTTGTATCGAATGCGTGTTCAAATTTAGAAGTCTGCAGAGTAGGTACAATTCTACATACTCTAACATATATACATATGTATTTGCTTTCGTCGGTAAAGTAGTATAAATAAGCATTGGGAATTAAGACAAAAACTCAGACTTTGGTATTATTACCCCTTTAAAAATGGTGTAAAGCAAATTTTGCTTTACTGGCGTTTGCCTTATAGCACCCACGTTTCTTAAGCATGGATGAGAGCTTAATATTTTTATTCATCATACATTATTTTGAGATAACTCACTTTTTTTATATGTAACCGTTTCCTTTAGGCAACATCTACTCGAATTGTTGGTGGCATTTGGTGGTTTTGTACGCTGATAATCATCTCGTCATATACGGCTAATTTGGCTGCATTCCTGACAGTGGAACGAATGATAACGCCAATTGAAAGTGCTTCTGATTTAGCAGATCAAACGGACATATCGTATGGAACCTTGGAAGGAGGATCAACCATGACATTTTTTAGGGTAATAGTACATACATACATAGACATAAGTATACTTACTTCCAGTGTTGCCAGTTTAGCCGTTTTCCTCCTAGATTTAGCCGATTTTGCTGTAGGCCTTATTTTCTTAAAATTCAAATACATAAGTTTCCATTTTTTTAAATTAAGCGACCCAAAATCTATTAAAGATTGCTAGGCTTATCTCGGAGAAAATTTTCATATCGGATGTGTTATATAAAATTGAAAGACATTTTTTTTCTAATCCGAAAAGTCTCAAAAAATACTGGGCCAATTTCAATCATTTTTATTTAAGCCAATGTCTGCGAACCCAAATAAATATAAACTGGATCGCGACATTTTAGCCAGTTTAGGCTAATTTTCTTTTGTTTATTTAATGCTTCCTTTTTTAAGGGTGTAGCTGATTACTTAAAAAACACCATTTAAATCCAAGTTTCATACTTCGTGCAAAAATTATGAAAATTCAGCAAACTTTCAACAAAATTTCTAACTTTTTAATTAGCTCTTTAAAATATAAAAATTTAATATATTTAAATAGCACTATCGATAGTATCGATGTTTTTTTATTTTTCGCTACTATCGATGGGTTTTGGTCCTATCGATAGTCCGACAGATATGTGATTCAGTATTTATTCTAGTTTTAGTTCTTCGTTTCCTTTCATTTTTCTTAAACATCCAAGTTGAACTAAAAATTTGGTTGCTACTCTTTTAAAAGAGTAGTGAAAAATTTCGGAAAGGACGGAAAACCTCGCATCCTTTGAAATACCGCTTACTAAAGTAAAAAACTGATAAGCCCAATATACAATAACGCAGTGACAGAGGCAGTTTTTCGAAATCAGCTGTTTTTTAGAAAGTGTGGTGTCCAATGAAGCGACTCACAATACAGCAGTGGCAGCTAGCAGTACTGCTCAGTTTAGCCCAAACTCTAAATTCACTGCCACTGCCTTCATCGCAGCAAATATCGCATGTTGAATTTGACATAAATGAAACGCAGCCAACTTCTATTTATGTCACTGAAGTCTAAAAGGTAACAACAAAAATGTAAGCAAAGAAAAGGGAATGTCAAAAAAAGCAGTCACTGACAACGCCGTATTGTGATTGCTGCGACTGTCACTGCCACTGCGCTATTGTATTTTGGGCTATACAAATTAACTTATACCCAAACTTTCAATATTATCTATTCACAACTATTTACAATTTAATAAAAAGTAAATAAAAATCATTATGTATATGGAGGATATCTAAAACCACAAATATAAATTGTTTTCAATTTAAACTCATTTCAGATATTCAATAACTTAACGGTTAAACAATTAAAAAAAATTGACCAGTAGTGTACAAGGGCATCCAAACGTCATTTCGGAATATGTTTTTAAGGAAATCTTCATACCAAAATTGAGCGAAAATTATAAACGATACTATCGACGATATATCGATAGTTTTTAAAATAAAATCGAATACTATAGATGGTCTGATTATCGATAGTTTTGCACCTCTAATGCACACTGAAATTTAATAGACTATTAAACGGCATACCATGATTTTTGTAAAGATGCTGATTAAAAAGGTAAACATTTTGGTGAAGTTTTGCAAAATTTTCATAAGTTTTGCACAAAGTCTGAAGTTTGGATTTATATGGTTGTTAAACTCTCTGGGAAGGCAATACCTGTGAATAATTGTATCAGGCATATACAGGGAGTGCCCAGGTCATTAAAAATGGGAACGTTTCGAACAAGGTGTATTAAACAAGGTGGTGTTGGGGCGCCAGCTGATTTTGCTGATTTTTCGCCGTGGAGAGCATTACGTCAAAATGAAGGCGAATTTAATGTGTTTTGTTTACTTTCTAATTGACACTGTGAATTTCTGGCTCGTGAGTCGTTTATGTGTGAAAATTTGTGCTTAAAACTAATAAAATAAAAATAACTTCCAATTAAAAAGGTAAAAAGCAGCAATGGGAAAGTGTGCGTTGTGCTT